GAAGTTTACGTAAATTTAAATATCACTTTACATCCACTTCTTTCAACAATTATCTGTAAACTAATCAAAAACTTCCAATTGTTGCAAATTGCGAAGAAAAATAGTAGTACTTTTAACTGCATCATTTAGGCTGTTTTTGTATTACAATGAAACGACTGGACAGTTTTTGTATTTTTTGTTGTGGAACTAATTAGAACAAAACAAATAAGATGTATTTATACTCAGTTTTTTTMTTTTTTGCAAAATTTTAAGAAATATAGAACACTTTACAAAAAAATTCTATTTGCATCAAATAAGCTGTGAGTGACTGTATGATACAAAACAATCACGCATATGTGACCTTGTATATTTTTTATTCAAAGCATTTCTCTTTATTCATTCTTGCGTTAGATCAGTTTACATATACATATGTATGCCAGAAAACGTGTTCATTTCTGTTAATAACCGCGAGAATGGTGAACTCCTTACTTCAATTCTATCAGCTCTGTTAGCCATCCAATCGAACCATCATACAGAATTCAACTTGCACCCTCTCCATGTTTTTACATTCTCTGTCTGGCTCAGTTATGCCCACAAAGCACTTCCATGCATATAACTGTCACATAAATAATCTGTTTAATATGCTAAGCGTTGTAATTGTAATTTTTAAGAAATAAAGTTGTCTGCAGAAAACGATTTTGAATTTTCCTGAAAATTGTTTAACACGTCATGTTTAATGCTTGTACTAATACATGTAACTATTACTAATAAATTAATTCTTTTGCATTTAATTTCTTTTCTACTAATTTTAGAATTTAGGTGAGAATTCGACATAAATATGTCAGCGCATCCAAATAGTGTGTGGATATTGATATGCATGTGTGAGTGTATGGGTATACAGTTTCGGGAATTTCGTTAGAAGACTAAGTTCCTCATCATTGCATCAGCCGTTGATTGTCCTGTGATTGGTTGTCTGCATGTTGTTACTTGAAGAAGTACCGTTTTAGCGGGGCGACAGCGTGGCGTCACTATCATCCAGTGTGGTGGTCTGCATGTCGCCCCTTCAAGAAGTACCGTTTTAGCGGGACGACAGAGTTGCGTCGCTGTCGTCGAGTGAGGTTCGGTGGTAAGCGCAAAAGGAAGAAAACGACGTAGAGTCAGTCGTGTTTAATAGCTGGAACAGTCAAAAACGCTACTGCCTTCCTCCCTTTTCCTTCCTCATCGGCAAAATGTGTGCCCAGTGAAAAATGTGGCAAAAACGCAGAATTCAGCCATCTTTGTTTGTTTTCATTTGCACAATGTTGCCATTGCTCAATACGCATATATAGYTTTGTACACAGATATGTTTTCAATTACAATTTTTTATAATATAAAATACCAAAACTGAAAACAAACTATTAAAAATAGTTTATATATTTATAAATAATAGCATTCGACTCCAATTTTGAGTTATTTTAAGAAAATTTCAAACATATTGAATAAATTCAATTATAAAAGTTGATAATTACTACAGTATATAGATATTGGCAACCCTGGGTTGTGAGAGAGCAATCAGCTGATACGTTTAGACGGCAAAAACCAAAATGCTGTAGATTCTCACGTCATCCGACGTCAAAGAGAGAAGGGAGTAGCGTTTTTCACTGGGCACTTACATTGCGCGCCCATAAGATAGGTCGAATCAGCTGACACGACCCACGATTCTGCATTTTTGACTATTTCTGCTATAAGACTTGATATAATGAAGTTATGTTTAAGACTTGTTATTTTGAAGTCGTAATGAGGACTTAATATTGTAAAGTGTGAAGAGATTTAGTTCGAGAAAAAATTAATGAATTACTAAACTGCAATATATTTAGACCAAGCTGTTCACCTTATGCAAGCCCTATATTATTGGTTAAAAAAAAATGGTTTAGACAGACTTTGTGTTGACTATAGAGAGTTAAATTCAAATACAGTCGCTGATAGATAACCGTTACCACTTATACAAGATCAAATAAATAGACTTAGAGGAGCTAATTACTTCACATGTCTAGATATGGCCAGTGGATATTATCAAATTCCTTTACATTCAGCGTCTATTGAGTACACGGCGTTTGTAACGCCAGATGGCCAATACGAATTTTTATCTATGCCATTTGGGCTCAGAAACGCATCTTCGGTTTTCCAACGGTTAGTAACGCAGGCACTAGGGGATCTAGCAAATTCCTTTCTTATCGTCTATATGGACGATATCATGATAGTTGCCTCAACAAAATGTGAGGCGTTAGAAAGACTACAAATTGTTCTAAATGTTTTAACAGAGACTGGGTTTTCATTCAACCTTACAAAGTGTTCTTTTCTGAAAACATCGGTTCAATATTTGGGTTACAATGTAAGTGCTGGTGAGATTCGTGCAAACTCACAGAGAATTGTAGCGTTGACTGCTCTTCCGTCTCCACAGTCAATCACTTCACTCAGACAATTTATTGGGTTAGCGTCTTATTTCCGACAATTTATTAAGAGATTTTCACAATTAATGAAACCGTTATACTCCTTAACTGCTAACAAAAATAAATTTATTTGGAAAACAGAACATGAGCAGATACGGAAAAAGGTCATTGCCATTCTTACAGAAAAACCAGTTCTTGTTATCTTTGACCCAATTTATCCAATCGAATTGCATACAGACGCAAGTTGTACTGGCTACRGTGCGATTTTATTACATAGAATTAATAACAAACCTCAAGTAATAGAATACTATAGCAAAACTACTTCACCCGCAGAATCAAGATATCACTCGTATGAATTGGAAACCTTAGCTGTTGTAAACTCTATTAAACATTTTCGGCATTACTTTTTGGGCAGGAATTTTATTGTTTACACTGACTGCAACTCACTAAAAGCGTCAAAAAGTAAACAAGATTTAACCCCCAGAGCACAACGTTGGTGGGCTTATTTGCAGTCATTCACATTCGATATTCAGTATAGAGAAGGGAAAAGAATGGCACATGTTGACTTTTTGTCGAGAAATCCTCCTTTAACAAAGTCTACTTCGCCCACAAAATTAGTCGATAAGAAAAGAGTAAATTTAGCTGAAATTTCAAGCAACTGGCTTATTGCCGAACAGCGTCAAGATTCGGACAATGTCGAAATTGTAAAAAAATTAAAAGATTTTTCTCTGCCTGAAGATATTGCGAAAACCTATGAACTGAGGGCGGGAGTTCTTCATCGGAAAATACAGAGAAATGGCAGAACACGTTGTTTACCAGTGGTGCCACGAGCTTTCAGATGATCTGCTATAAACCAAGTTCATGAGTCTATAATGCATTTAGGTTTTGATAAGACATTGGATAAAACTTACGACTTTTACTGGTTTGACTATATGTCAAAATATGTGAAAACAATTGTTGACAACTGCATCATTTGCAAAATGTCAAAATCCACCTCAGGGAAAATACATTCTGAATTGCATCCAATACCAAAAGTCACTACTCCTTGGCACACAATCCACATCGATATAACAGGGAAATTAAGTATTCAGGGAGACGCGTTTACAAAACGCGTCTATCTTAGTCATAGCCTTAAATTAGACAGTGAGAGTTGCATAAAAGCCGTTCAATCCGTTGTTTCATTGTTTGGAGTACCAAACCGAATAATAGCTGACCAAGGAAGGTGTTTTACAGGCGCAAAGTTCAGTCAATTCTGTTCAGATAGAAAATAAATTTGCATTTGATAGCTACTGGTGCAAGTCGAGCTAATGATCAACCAACCAACCGCATTACGAAAACAAGTCCTTTAGAAATGTTGTTGGGAAAGGTAGCACGCCCATTAGGAACGAACGGTGAAGGGAGCGAAAATGAAAATATTGAGAGTAATAAGAGTGTTGAAGTCACTGAAGAAAGTGAGATCAAAAATGTTAAGATTGTTGAAATCACTAAAGAGAGTGAAGTAAACGGATAAGAATGACAAACTATATGAATGGTTGGCTAAAGAAAATGGCAGAGTACTCAGATCATAATGCAAGCACAAGAGCAAAACAGACTAATGGTTGTTTTGATCATGGCGTGTGGAGTATTTGATTGAGTTCTGTGACAGTAATGCAGAAGTTGAAAAAGACGCTGTTGAAAGAGACAGTAATAAAGAAAGTTGAAAGTTCAAAGAGACCATACAGTTGCCTTAAGGTCTTATAATGATGTTTGTAATAATAATGTGGGCACAAGTGCAAAACAATTGTTTTGATCATGGTGTGTGACGCATTGGATATTATAATGTAAAACCTGTGTGGTAAATAATAATGTAAAAATGAGCTGTGCTAAAGAAAAAATATTTTGTATTAGTTAAGAAGGAAACTGAAATATGAAGATATACTTTATGAAAAACTAGAAGTTACATTTGCATAAAATTTTTTGAGTTAATTGAATAATAACACAGCATTTTTTGTAAAATTGAACGAGGTTCTAATAGTGTTTGGATATTGGTATGCGTGTGTGGGTGTATGGGTATACAGTTTCGGGAATTTCGTTAGAAGACTAAGTTCCTCATCATTGCATCAACCGTTGATTGTGCTGTGATTGGTTGTCTGCATGTCGCCTCTTCAAGAAGTACCGTTTTAGCGGGACGACAGCGTGGCGTCGACGGGGATTGAATCATTGCAAAGGGAGATTGGATATGCCTCAAGTTTCAAGAAAAGAATATTAAAATATTAAAAATGTGAGCTGCATAAATATAATCAAATTTTCACTTGTGATTCATACTTGCGCTAACATATCCTCTGACGTCTGCAATATTTAACCAAGGTTTTCTCTTGGTGGAGAAATTATTTTACCCCATCAAAACATTTTTGTATAATTTTTTAAGCTGTTATAATTTATTTACAGTCTTAAATTTTTWAAATCAAGGAGTAAAAAGAAGTTTTGGTATTACTTTGCCATTTTAGCCATTCACAATGGTAAATGTTTGAAGCAATGTCAAGCCATTAACATATGCACTATTAAATAATTATCGATAAAATTAAGCTTTTATTATACTCTGACTGTCTCTATTCGCCATATTCTTTCATTGTTATACATTGCATGGTACGAAATACATTATTTACCATTAATAGTATTGAGTTCCTTTACGAATATGAGATGTTATTCTGGTGATGATTTTGAAATTTCAATTAGTCAGATACAAAGGGTTGAAAAATGTTGTATATGTCAGGAGCACTCGTCATCTTTTACTATAGTGGAGAAATCATACATTGGGACGCCACCTATTTCAACAAGTGATTTACTGCTACAATGTTTTGATTCACTGGATAAATGTCGCCTAGTACTTGGCGAGCAGCCTTCAAATAACTTCATATGTGACTCTTGTGAAAAGCTCCTTATTGAGTTTTATGACGCCGTGAAAACTGTTTCGATTCGACGAAATAAGTTCCTTGATCGAGTTAAAGATAAGAATAAAGCAACAGATGAAATAGAATATTTTGTAATTATTGAATCAACCAAAAACGATGCAATTTCGCCTCATCCAACAACTAACCGTGTGATAGAACATGAGCCAAATTCATATCCTTCAGAAGACGAGTTTGTTAAAATTATTGATTCAGATGATGAACATTTGACCCTAAGTATTTCAGAAGACGAATTTGTTAAAGTTAACCAGCCAGCCGAAGAATTTAAAGATGAATGGTCCTCAGATTGTTCAATCAACACAGACGGTGAATAGTATTATTAATTTACTGAAGTAATTATCATTAATTTAAAATTTCTTAAATAGCACAAGAAAACCCAGGACAAATGAGAAACGCCTTGATAACTATTGAACGTATGCCAAAAACAACGCTAAGATTTTGTTGGCGCTGTGATAAAAACTTTCCATCGGATGATGCTTTTGAAACTCATTTAAAAGTGGCTCACACGAAAAGTAAAAAAACTGTTTACTCGTGCCACCAATGTCAAAAAAATTTTACATCTGAAGACGAACATAATACACATATATCCAAATTTCACTATACTGATCAGTCACGTTGCGAAATTTGTGGAGCTTTGTTTGACTCATCCGTACTTTTGAATTCACATAAAATAGCCCACAAACAGTTGAAGTGTTCCATATGTTCGCAAATGATGTTAACTCAAAAAATGCTTCAACGTCATATGTTGGTACATCGTATGGACAAAAAACACCAATGTTCAGAATGCGGAAACAAATATATATCAAAGACGTTTCTACAAAAGCATATGCTGGTCCATAAATATTCTCGTAGCTTCGTATGTCAGGTTTGCGACTTTCAATTTAGGACTGCATGGAATTTAAAACGCCATCAAAAGCTACATTGCCTAGGCGATATAAGTCGGAAGCTTGGGGATATTAAAGCGCATACTTAGGTTTTTAGATTAAAAATAATATTGTAGAAGAAAATAATGAATCGTTTGGTCACAGAAAGCTCAATTTAAAAAAATATGCAATTATTCTTTTTAACATTAACTTGGTATTTTAACTATTAGTAGCTTGTTGTTGTAGTGACTAAAATCCAAGGAGAGCAGAGCACGTACTTTTTCGTTTTTCTGTTATGGTTGTGCTACGGCTCCCGTCAAAGTGAGAGCGGTAGCAATAGCGTAGCAATAGTGTACGGAACACAGAGAGCGACAGACCTCAAGCGACATCCGTCAAATATTAGAATACACACATTTAGACAGCTGAACGACTACATAATTGTGTCCATAAGATCGTGTGTATTAATATTTGACGGATGTATTTAGCACATAACTCGGTTATAATCTGTTGTTATGACTGGCTTTTTGAATGCTTATCTTTCGCGATTTTTTCCCCAGTATCTTGCATATTTCGACCATAAAAGAAGAAATTATTGTTACTTCGTTCCTTTCCTGATATTTGATCACTCTAGTTCCTACTGATTTTACTGCCCTTTTTGGCAATCCTGCCCTGATTGATTGTAATGTTGCACGGTATTCATCCACGGAAATTTCTTTCCATGGCGAGTATGTCTCTTGAATTTTTGAAATTTAAAATTCTGCGCAATCCACTCCTGGAGGAGCCTTTTTATGGTCAGTAATGTTTAAATATGAAGGATGGAGTCATGTGTAGAGTTCACGAAAGTGAGGAAAGTTCTCTCGCCATAGGGATCTGATCTACATAACAGGGATAATGGGATGCCCAACTTATTSCAGTGTGAGAGCGCCTCAAAATAAACGTTTTTTTTTTTAACATTTTCCATTATGGCCAGATTGAACAAAATAAAAATATTTGGGCATTTAAATTAAAACACCCAACATTTATTACGATTAGACTTTTAATATATGGCAAAACTACTTAATTCCTTTTTTATGATTTTATGGGATATTAAAACAACTGACTTTCGATATTTCAATACTTAATAAGGTGAATTAAGCCTGTTAGTTCTAAATTATCTTTTCTTAAATCTAGGTTTTGACGTTTAGCAATTGCTCTCTCATTTCCAGTGAGAGTTGGGGATCTCATTATCTCTGCTACATAGGGTTGTGCGCTGGGTTTGGGATTCGCCTCGTAAAAAAACACCCCCAATGAAAAGGAACAACCAGCCTCGGATGACTTCGCCGGGGCCCGAAAAATGGTTATCTGTAGTACTAGATTCCAGCATAAGAATATTCATCAAGCTACCTGGCAGTCTCCGGATCGAAAAACCATCAATCAGATCGATAATGTTGTGATAGACGTAASACAAATGTGCGATGAGCGTGCGCTCCGAGGTAGTAACCACTCGGACTCTATCGGACCACTATCTTGTTGTAGCCAAGATTAGCACCCACCTCTGTGCAGTAAAAAAGCGCACGCCAACAAACACAAGGAAGGTGGCGGGGGCCGATGTATTGCCGGCCGAGCTATTCAAACACGATGAAGAACTGATAAGGCGAAAGGAGAATCGACACTCACCACCTCTTCGTCGATTTCAAAGCTGCTTTCGACAGCACGAAAAGGAGCTGCCTTTATGCCGCGATGTCTGAATTTGGTATCACCGCAAAACTAATACGGCAGTGTAAGCTGACGTTGAGCAACACCAAAAGCTCCGTCAGAATAGGAAAGGACCTCTCCGAGCCTTTCGATATCAAACGAGGTTTCAGACAAGGCGATACCCATGCGACTTCTTCAACCTGCTTTTGGAGAAAATAGTTCGAGCTGCTAAGTAGAGTAGGTACCATCTTCTATAAGAGTGTACAGTTGCTGGCGTATGCCGATGTATTGATATCATTGGCCTCAACACCCGCGCCGTCAGTTCTGCTTTCTCCAGGCTGGACAAGGAAGCAAAACAAATGGGTCTGGCAGTGAACGAGGGCAAGACGAAATATCTTCTATCATCAAACAAACAGTCGTCGCACTCGCGACTTGGCACTCACGTCACTGTTGACAGTCATAACTTTGAAGTCCTAGATAATTTCGTCTATCTTGGAACAAGCGTAAACACTCGGCTATAATCGCGCAAGCGGCGTCTACGCCTATTAAGAAGAAGAAGTGAGTTTCATATGGTAATCTGATTTTTTACACGAGTAACTTACTGTCCCAGTTAACCGTGCAAAAAAAAGATCAAGTGTATAACAGTTCTTTAGTGAAACATTTGTTCTTTACTTCAAAAAGCATTGAACCAGTCCTCCAGCGTGGAAAGACGAAAAAGTCGTCTGGCACGGTTATGGTATAAGTCTTTTGTGATGCACCTCGTACCAGTTAGGATCACCGTTCATCGTTTTCATTTAAATATTGCAATACTCTGTGCAATTCTTCCAAAATATTTATGTATGTCTCAAATTATAATAGACCTTTTTATCATCGCGTTTAGTTAAGTAAACGCAGTGCCATTACGACGAAAATGTCAATACCATCTTTTGTGGTGATTAAAAATATCTGACGGGTTCGTCCTAAAGAAGAAAAAACTGCCTTGTTCAAGAGYAACAATCAGTATAACCCATATACTAAATATGCATGCATACGAAAATTAATGTTCTGTGTTGCTACCCTTTTTTACTTATTTCTTTCTTGAATTTTCAACACATGCTTATGATTTGAAATATAATTTTGGTATTTTTGAATTTTATTGACTTTTAACACAAAGAGATAAAAGCTACCTCCTCACCAATTTTCAGCCAAATCGGTTCAGTCTTGAGTTATAAATAATGTAGTTACACTATTTTTTCGACTTTCTTTTATATATTATACACACATACATATCGTCACCCAAAATGCAAAATAACGTATGATCAATTCGAAATTGAGCGTTTCAGTGATTACGATCCACTGCTTCAAATTACAAATATATAAGTACATATGTCCAACATTTTAACGTTCTGCTATCAGACATAACCAAGTTCTAACCAATATTTAAACTTTGTTTCACTCACGTGTTTGATTCTTTCCCTTGTAAATTTCCGAAAATGTTACGCTATTTTGGATTTTAGGTGACCATATATAAATATAGATATGCTCGGATATTCTACCAAAAGAGTTAGTTGCGAATGAATAAAAGAGAAGCCAAATCCCAAAAAAAAGGGGATGAATAGAGGCTCCACATATCAGGAAAGTAGTGGTTTTGGCCCGAAAAAAACATTTTAAGAAATAAAGTTGATAACAGTTAAACTGTGCGACAAGAGTTCTAGAAAGGAGTCACTACTTCAATGGTATGTGCAAGCCAGAGTTTAATTTATTGAAAAGCACTTGCATTGGCCGGTTGAAAAATGATTAAATAAAAGTCCCGATGACTCCGAGGGTACGAAGGCAGAAAACAGTTTATTTGTACCAGATATATGTCTACAGTAGGTATGTATGCATGAAGTTGGAACTCCCTACTTGGCGGGTAAGGTATTTACTGAAAGCCTCTTTATAAAATCATACAAAATCTTAATCCTTTTTTCCCAAAGATAAACGCAATAGACGCAAACGAAATAGAATCAACCGCACTTAAAAATTATTTTAAACTTACTGAATTATGTTTAATTCAAAGTCAATGGAAACTTCAAAAATAAAATTATTTTTATTTTCTCAAATGTTTTACAGCCGTTTTTCAAATATAAAATACACTTCACCGGCATGCTGGAGCATTCACCTGATGGTGCCAACAAGCTTGAATCATACACTACACCAGCATGTTGGTGCAATATGAATTTTTTTACAAACTTGTATATGAAAAAAGTACTTATGAGAAAAAAAACAACTAATATTGACATTTTGTATATAAACACTTCGTATCGACCCATCCTTTTATAATTGAATCAACAACAGTTAAACTACCGTTGGTTTAATAAAACCTACGTTTTTGCAAATCTGCGAAGACCAAGATAAAAATATAGCAGCGTTCGCAAAATGATTAATTAAAATTCTCTCCGTTCGTAATATAAAAAACATCAATAAGATAATATTGATGGCTCGTTGAACCGAAAATTCGTTAGTTCGAAAGTTCGTTATATTGAACGACCACTATATTTTGTACTAATATTTATTAATAGTCATAAAAAATGCAAAGGCTTTAATTTACCTACTTTTTTGTTGTGTTCTAATTCTCCCAGTCATCAATGATTACATTAGTAGTCGTTTACGTTTCACAGTCAATGCTTAATTTCTATAAAATTTTATTAAGATATACGGCAATGTTATGGGCAACGTATGTTTTATAAATGTCATTCATAAAAATATGTTTGAAATATTTAAATTACAATAGACAATACATAAATATGCCAGGAAAGTTATATCGAAAATGGCTAAAAAAACAAAAGAACCTACAATTTCACCGCTAGCGAGTCGGAGCACCTATCGAAACTTGTGGTAATCCCAATCCGATTTCGTAGTTTTTCACAAAAATAACTTGTTATTTCTTATTATTCTTTTTTTGACAAATAATTTAAAATTTAAAAAAAGATCAGCTATTACTTAAGTACTGCTTAGGTCTTTTGAAATTTAAGCGAATCAGGGCTTTCGAAGTTTTACCTTTTTTTTATCTCAATGCTAAGGTTATGCTGACGTATTGGGAAATGCCACTTGTTTTGAACTTTCCAACACTAGAACGACCCTAAACACACGTCTAGGCTCGTGAAATCGAGGTTAGAAGAAAATCTTATAAAGACTGGTGTGGCTGGCACAGTCCCCCTATTGAGAATATGTGGATGACAGTTAAACGTAAAGTAGGCAGTGAAATAATCCGGAATGGTGATGAACTTTTCGCCAGATTGGAAAGCCATGCCTTACAGTTACATTGAAAGTCCAGTTGCATCAATGCTTAGAAGTTGTGCTGAAGTTATTAAAAATAATGGTTACACAACTAAATATTAAACAAATTTTAAAATGTTTTTAGAATACTTAAAAGTTTCAAATGTTTTGAACTCATGGATTTTTGACTTTGGTTTATTTAATGCCTCTTTACCACTACGAGCAAATGAATTGTTTCAATTTGTATGATTTTTTGTATAAAAAATATATAGATAAAGAAATACTTTATCAAAAGTTAAAGAAATGGTTTCAAATAAAATAGTCAATATGGTTGCAAATATTTTGACCGCCACTGTATCTCTAAAACTCGATTTCAGTGGATCCAACACTTTCAAATAATACACATTTGTGCCTTACCAATGCACGACTGCCAGGTTTTACAGACAGGGTCATTGTCGGATCATATGCTGATAAAAAATGGGCACAATTTGCCCACATACATTAGATACGCATATTAATTTGAACTCAGTTCCCAGTTATGCTAAATTATATTTCTTTATTTGTATTTTTTTTTTTAAACAAAGTTTTCGATGACACTCGACATTTTTTTTTTACTATTACTTAAAAAAATATCGTTTTCTTCGATTTTTAATTGTAAGTCAGTTGTATAGTCTATCCATTACTCAATTTATAGAAGAATGAATATGTATCTTATTTTAAATAATGTACACTTAATAATTTATTTATGGTCACATAAAGATAACCTATTATGCTAATTAGCGTTCCAAAAGTGGATCGCCAAACTTTTGAAAATGCATGTGTGAATATGAGCATGTGTATGCTTGTTTGTGGTTATAAGCAAAGTTCAATATTATGTAATGATCACACACACATGTGTACTTTCATATTTTAGAATCAATATGAGTGTAACAAATTAAAATTCTATAAAAAATTACGTTATGAAATAGTTTTCGTCGATATAAAATTTAAGAAAGCAAAATCTAGTAAAAAACTCTTATAAAATACTTTTGATTTTCGTGATCGAGAACAATATTTAGTGCTGCTAAAAACAGGCAGCGCCTTATATGTAAACAATATATATTGCAGGCAGTCCATAAAAACACATTTCAATCAACTTTTTTTAGCTTTCTTAAAGAAAATCTATAAACAATGTATTACGCAAAATTAAAAGAAGGCGAGAATAAAATATATATCCTTTTAGCGTTTTATAAAAAATACATAAATCGAAATATCTACTGTTATGTTTTTATAAAAATCTAAAAATATTGTTTTTACAAAACTCGATTTTTGTGTGGTTTTCTCAATTATCTCTAAGCACTAAATACAATTTTTAATGTAACATTTGCTTTGTCAACCTTCATTTACGCTTTTGTTATCCCAATAACTATTCCTTAGGCGTTTCTAATTGCTGCTATTCTTGTTTCGTTGCAGTTATTTTTAATCTCGCTGTTTTATTATTGTGAGTCGCTAAGATACTAGCCTAAACCTAATCGGATGGCTTCACTAGGCCCATCACTTTGCCTTCAAATAGTGGCAAAATATCACTGTCATTCACGATCTCTTCCTGAATCACTGGACTTTCCGGATCTTCACAATGTGTTTTGAAAAAGAACCTAAAATGCAGTTCAAAGAGTMTTTCAGATTAATATATGTTTGCGTAATTAAAGTGTACAATTTTACTCACCTAAAATTGCCTTTTTTCGGCAAGTAGTCTTTAAATTGCTTCAGGGTGGGTTGCGAACCGGGAATTTTCGTTCTGTAAGGATATTCTTCGTCGCAGAATGAAAATACGACAGTCGTTGTCTCTAGTGGTTTTGCGGGTAGAGGTGGTGGTTGCGGCTGGTGATGTAAACTGCTGCTGCCACTGCTACTGCTGCTGAATGATGGTGGTTGCTGCGATGGCTGTATATGTTGTTGAGTATAACGACGAGACCTTCGGGTCTCATCTTCCAGTCTTCTTTTTGCCTCTTCTGATTTAGAGGCCGTACTTGAACCAGATCGCGAACTTATTCAAATTGAAAATGGGTTATTAACCAAATATTTTTGTTATATTCTTATTTTACCTGGTGTCTTTGTACTTCATAAGAGTATCGGCTGAGAACAGACTGATTCCACTATCTGTATTGACGGAAGGCCACTTATTTGTTAGCTTCCTGGAAGAGGAACTGTGATCCGGCATAGATTTGGAGTGTTTCATAGAATGTCCCCCTTATAAAAAAATAAGTATTTTTGTGTTAAGAAGGCATTTATCCTTTTTTTGTAAATAGTGTGCATATGACTTTTCATTACCTATACTCATAGCTCCATCACTAAGCATTCCTGAATCGTGGGTTATGGTGCGACGTCGCGTCGGAAGAGGCGGGCATGGTGACATGGTACCAGGCGAACGGTGAGGTGTTTGATCCTTCCAGACTCTTGATACATGCTGATCGAGTATATCTTGGTCATTGTCCTCCTCTAACGCAAATTTTTCACGGATCGCGTCTGCAAATGCGCGATCGCTGGCAAGCCTTTCATTTGTCGGCATTGAATCGTCTGTGAAACGCTGGAAAGAGTACGAGATTAATGTATAAATATTGTTTAATACCGTGATATTTATTGTTTATATATACATCAAATCTAGCTCTATCTTCAATGTCTTGCTTTCGTTTCACTTCTTCCAATTTCGGAATGAGTAATGCAATTAAGTCAGCCTCTTTTAAAGGACGATGTTCGTTCGAATGGAGGCGTTGTGTTCGGGGTATAACCTATGTAATATAAAAATAAATATGTAGTGTATATTCTGACGTCAAAGTAATTCATGTATTATTTACTTGAAACGTGTTAGTCTCTTTGTTGGCCAAAGCACTTTGACGTATCGCTTTACTTTCATTTGAACTATGTCTCCTTTGAATATAAGGTCGACCATCCCTGAAATGTAGAAAATATATCTTTTGTATAATTGTATATTACGACAACTCTCTTCATTCTGACACATCATGAAGTCAGACATCTAATACATGTTATTTTCATACTATGTACGTATTTAACAAATTATGAGACATTAATTTTCCACACTTAGGATATATGTATACTTACATAGAACAACTAGATAGAGACATTGTATCGGAATCAGTTCGACCACCGGAACTTACGCTCGCTCTTTCCGAATCCACACGGGAATTCGGAACATATGAAGTATTCGCGGCCGCAGGATATACATAACCATGAGCACTATTCGCATGCAAAGGTTGGTATAAAAGATAATGTCATATCCATGCATTGTTTCCATTTACATCATGTACAAATCATATATAGTATAAATGCAATAAAATTATTAAACCATAATATGTAACCAGATACAGCGTCATGGGTACAGTCGTAGAACAAAAGGAGGCATGCCAAATGGAGTGATTGGTTGTATGATTCAATGATTGGTTGGTTGGTTGTGTGATGTAACATTTGTGGGTTATAAATCATGATGAATACAAATGAAAATAAATATAAAATTTAAAAATGTTATTAGCATTAAATCGTATTTTATTGGTGAGGATAAAAAAAATAAATTAAATTAAATTATTTTAATGGTCTACAATATATTGTATTCTTTTCATGCGATTTTACCTTTATGTTACGTTATATTCATTAATTAAAGAATTATCTTTTTAACTAAATATTTGATGATATATTGTGTTTCCTTAAAAAAATATTATTTTGTACATAAGAAGGAAGGAAGTTGCTTTAATTAATAAAAGGATTTTTAACATTTATATTCAGATATAAACAACCATGCAACAATAGTTAGATAATATACAGGGTTTGTCCGGAAAGGAATAGGAATGAGTCGATTTAAACAAATTTATTGAACCAATAGTGACAATTCTTTAAAAACTTTAAAAATAGGCACTTTCTGAAAGTATTCTTCTTACATTGCATGTTTTTTGGCGACCCACAGATTTTGATAAATTTAACATATTGGAAATTAAACGAATACTTAGCCGACGGTCTGAGTTCAAAACTTTGCGCACACGAGTCGCAGGTCTCCCAGCGACAGATACACGTCGCGCGAAAATGTTTGTCCTGACTCTCTAGGTGCTCGTTTGTTAGCTAGGAACGCCTTCTACCGAAGAGCAGTTGCGGCGGAAAAAACAGTCCTATTACTTTCCGGACATATCATGTATATCATCAAGTAAAGTATTTTTGCTAAACATTTTATTTAAATATAAATCTCTTTATGTGGATCAATTTAAAACTCAATCAAATTCTAGAGAGTTGTATACGTCGGGTTCTTTATTCGGACAGTGCAACTTTTCATAATTAAAAAACCGCAAGTCATACTAAGATGTAAAAATTTCGTGTAAGGTATTATAAAGTGCATATTTATCTTAAAAAGTCAATATTGTGTATTTTCTGTAAAATTATTCTATAAGTTTATAAAATTACCCCGGAGGTCGTATTTCCAGTCTTCTCTTCTGAGTTGCTAGCAGTAAGTCGTGGGTTAGACGTATAGGCATGTCGGCTGATTTACGACCACCTTCAACTCGCAGCTTCTCGAAATCGTCACAAAGAGATAATTCCGAATCTTCATGCAGTGTAGGTAGTGTAGAGCTACGTGGAAGAGTATCAGTTGCACTAATGGAGCCACTGGAGCTAGCTGATGTTGAAGGACCGTACACGCTACCACTTGCACTGCAAGCACCGCCAAGCTGTATATTTCCACTAGAAGTGCTCATAGGCAGGTTAATAAATGGCGCTACCGAAGAGCAAGGCACTTTCCCAGAACTGGTGGGCAACGCGCAAGCTCCTCCTGTTGATCCAGCAATTCCTGCTCCACTACTACCACAACTGGCACCACTACTACTTCCGCTGCCGGAACCAGCCGCCCCAATCCCAAATCGTTCATGTGAAACGGACATTTGCTGAATATACAAAATGTACATTTCTGAACAAAGGAAGCTGGGATAAATGTTTTCACGTATGGTGACCTCCACATATTGTTGCATTGAATCGTATATGTTAGAATTGAGTGGGACTTCATTTTTAAGACCTGCTTTTATTGTTCGTCGCAAGTCTTCAGGTATTGATAGTTGACTTTTTCGTAAAAACCTTTTCAATACGAAATGTTAGCGCACAMTTACATAAAATTAAAATGTTCCATTACCGATATATCGCTCCTATAATTTGTTTAATTTTTTCGGGGTCAGTTTGCTGCTTTAGACCTTCACAGGCAAAATAAAAATTTAAATGATCGTTATAACCAGGTGCTTCATCTTCAACGTATTTTTTGAAAAGATCTACTCCATCACGGTCCTCAAGAAGATGATTAAGCGTTCGAGCCCAATTCAAATAAGAAGGTGGTGAATTTCGGGAACTATCAGCCACCCCTTCGGTCATCTGAAGTTGAAATATAATTAAGAATTTATTTCCTACACAATTTTTTAGATTTTATCAGCTTTTAATGAAACTTACCTTTTTAACTCGACTTTCTTCTCCGGGTACTGGTGGTCTAGGCCCACTACACTCATTATCATCATATTTTCGGAATCCTGATGGCTGGCTCATGCCACTTTCTGTTTTCTATTTTCCTATCTACCTTTAAGTTTGACTAGCAAACTACCGTCTCACAAAGTTTCTAATGCTTTTTTCACACTTACAGCGTTAATGAATATGTATTTTTATCTATACGAACTGTCCGATATATTTAGAATATAATGAACTTGGAAGTTATTAATAATTTTGCGTGCTAATTTATTTATGGAAGGCAATATGGCAGGGGCTGAAAAAGAAAAACGCATATAATGAATAGATATTAAGTTGTGAATTTAATGAGAAATTACGAACAAATTTCATATTTAATTGATTCCTTATAAGCCATTTGTTAGCCTATATGTGTTAGTAAATATGTTTATCTATTTCATACTATATACATTTTTTGTGTATATTTTGTAGGTTGGTAACACTACAACTCATTGAAAATCTATATTTATATAAAAGAAAATATGTCTGTAGACTCCGAAACGACTGGACTAATTTCAATGAAACTTTCAGGAAATCTTTAGATTGACCCGACGAGTAATCCTGTAAAGTTTGGTGACGTTCGGACTTTTTTTTTTGAACTGTCAAATACAGTTTTTATTTCAAATGATGATATTCTATTTTTTTTATAACCAAAATTTGTGTTGATACATGCGTTGTGGATATGTACATATGTCATATTTAAGTACAATGGAGTGTATTGAAGTAAATAATTAAGGATTTTTAGGAATTCCAGGTAAGTTGTAGCGCCGCGAATGTATCCGTTTACTGATGCGTTTTTATTTTTATGGCGTCCCAAATTGTGTCACAAATTAGAACTCTCAGAAACTAGAACATCCAGAAATTATAACCAGAGTTTTTAATGCATTGGACGCTCTGAACTTCTAACTTAAGAATATGAGGTTCTAATTTCCGAGTTTTTTTTWATATTTTTAACACAAGAGAATTCCCATTCTTGGGAATTTGAGGTTCTAATTTCTTAGTTTTTTTTTTATTTTTAACAAAAGAGAATTCCCATTCGTGGTTTTTATTTTACTGAATAAAGGTAAAATAGAAAGGGGAATCGAAAGGAAGTGTACATTGATAGGAACAATATTAAAGGAAAAAGCTAAAAAAAATTTTTGGTGAAGAATAGCCTGATAGAAATAAAAATACAAAAATATAAAAAGCGACATGGCATTCGTTTTGTAAAAATTGGTGGCGAGCTTCTTTCTAGTGATATTGCCTCGATCACTCCATTTATTCAAAAATTCCATGCAAAAAGTCACTGAGATGGGGTTAATGGAGTCGCAATTATATAATGTGGACGAAACCGGATTATTTTATCGTTGCCTACCAGATAAAACAAAAGTCTTTGCTTGTGAAAAAAGTGCGCCAAAAAGAACTAATTTCAATTTTACTTAGTTCAAATGCTGATGGCTCTCACAAATTAGTGCTCTTAGTTATTGGAAAAGCCAAAAATTCCAGAAGCTTCAAAGGTTTTAATAATACACTTCATTACAACTTTCCCAAAAATGCTTGGATGACGTCTCGGATCTTTCATGATTAGTTTCACAAGATATTTATTAATGAAGTAAGAAGAAATAAAGTTGCTTTTAATTTCTATAATTTTACAGTTTTCTCAAAAAAATAACTTGCCTCCGAAGGCTCTTTTGCTTACTGAAAACTGATGAAAGATGGCAACATGGTTGCATATTTCTTACCGTCACATGTGACAACAGCTATGCAACTAATGGATCAAAATCCCATAAAGTTAACTAAACTTGTTTACAGAAGTTACTTGCGAAATAAAAGCTGAAGATGCACTGAATAGTCTGTTGAGATCCCATTCCATCCGAAAGGCAATAATATTTCTGAAACAAGCTTGGGATGAGATAACGCAAACAGTGATGAGGAATTCTTCATCAAAGTTGTTAAATTGGGACACTGACCAATGATTATATGCCACWAGCACAGTTGCTTAACAAAAATTTGGGCTGCAATTAAGCTTTCCAAATAAATCAAACTCTTTTAGCAGAAATTGATCCAAACAGTTTCATGTGTATTAATGACATCGAGAAATGGAATTAAGATGAGTTTGAAGACGGAGCTGGTTATGACCTAAGTAGCGGTGATGAGTTTTCTGATAGCAGTGAAGRCGATGTTGATGACACAACAGTTATTTTAAATGCGTTAACAATTTAATAACTTCGTGCAAGAAGAGTGAATTGTCTTCCAGTAAGCACATGACCAATCTTTTGGCCCTCCGTAACGATATTGTTATATCGGATTGAAAGAAACAAAAAAAAAAAAAAAAAAAAAAAAAAAAAAAAAAAAAAAAAAAAAAAAAAAAAAAAAAAAAAAAAAAAAAAAAACAAATGTTACGAATTATATGTCAAACAAAAATTTATTTTGAACTGAGCCCTTATCCTGAATATTTAATTAATTTCGGAAATTTTAAGTTTTTTTTTAATAGTTGTTATGTAATGGACTGAATTGTTATGTTTTTAAATATAATAAGAAAAAATAAATAAAATAAAATGGTTCTATATAGTTATAATATCTACAAGAAGAAATATAGAAATATAGAAACTAAATACGAAAGTAAATATATTTAAATCTTGCGGTGTTCAACTACAATAAAGATGATGATTACAGAAATCACAAGGACGTAGTGGTCGGTGCAACGAACAAAGTTTGTATACATTGTGGTGCTTTGAAGTTCGCTAAAGAATCCCCTGGAATCTGCTGTTCTCGAACGGTAAAGTTGTTTTGTCACCATTGATGAAGCCACCTGAGCCACTTCTTAGTTATATTTCTAAGCGCACCTCCACTTCCAAACTTTTTTTTTTCAATATATATAGATATAAAGTTCTTATATATATATATGTATATATATATATATATGAAGTTTAATTGAATAATCATTAAAAAGAAATTAAATAGAAGTATTATCATGTCATATCAATAATTTTAAATCATAAATCAATGTTAATTTTTCCAATTATTTAAAAAGAGTTGCTGGCGTAAT